AAAATGATCGTGTTTAATGGCCAAAGAGGTCAGCTGAAAATGTGCACCTTCGGTTGGCCACCAGAGCTCAAGCGCCGGCCATGGTGATGGTAGCGGCCGCCATGCCGAATATTATCGCGAAAACATTCTGGATGGTGTATAAAAACCTTGTGCATGCAAACATTTTGACCGCAGACCTTGGACATTTTAACAGGACTCAGCACTATCGCACTCAGCACGCGCAACCCAAGAATGGTCACAAAATGAGGCTCCTCACTTCATTTCCGGACACCAATCGATTGGACTATTGTGTCTGGAGTATTTTGAAAAGCAAGGTTGGTACTTAAAAATACCAAAGTGTCGATCACCTCAAGCAACCGCTTCGCCGGGATTGGGCCAAAATACCGCAGAGCAACATTCGGGCAGCATGTGACGGTTTCATTGACCAATTCGAACAATTTTAAACTTATTCTAAAATTTAATGCCTTTTCCGAATTTTTTTATTCATTTCAAAAAAAAAAAAAAAAAAAATAAATAAATAAATAAATAAAAAAATTTAGAAATTATGGCGTTGGACTTTTTTGCGGTTTTTATACCCTCCACCATAGTATGGAGGGTATATCATATCATATATATTGTCATTCCGTTTGATTTAAGACCCCACAAAGTATATATATTCTGGATCGACATAGAATTCTATGTCAATTTAACAATGTCCGTCCGTTAACATATAAAGCCGTATAGCCTCCATATAACGGTACCCCCGATATTCGGTATTTTGATGATTTTAGCGACATTATTTATCGAAATTATTTCAATTTTTGTATTTGAAGTTCGTAATGGATACTACAGCCTATGCCAGAAAATTGTCTGTGCAGGTCCACGTTTTATGACCCCCCATGGTACCCCCCTATATTCGGTATTTTGATGATTTTAGCTACATTATAAACAGATTTTTTTCAAGTTTCGCATTTGAATATTGTAATAGATTGCGACAAAAGTTGCCTATGCAGGTCCACGTTTCGGTATTTTTAAGATTTTAACAGAATTTTTAACGGATTTTATTTTTTTGAAAATTGCCAAATTTGTACCAAATGCTGGAGGGTATTCAAAGTTCGGCCCGGCCAAACTTACAGTTTTTTTACTTGTTTTTATCTCACCCTGTGTGTATACAGAAATATTTTCTGTCCATTTGAACCTGAATTGTTTTACCAATGTTTGATATGTACCAACGAACATCTGTTCCGTGCTGGATTCGTGTATACTGCTATGATTAAACATTTTGAATTTTTCTTTAAAAATTCAAGTTTTGTGTGAATTCAGAGAAAAATATTCAATATTCCGCAAAATTTGCTTTACCGATGCAACTGTGTGAATTAAGTATGAACAATAAAAGTATCAAAATGACTTTAATCAATCACATTTGGAGTAAGCGAAAGAAATATAATAAGAAAAAATCGATAGGTTATTGACTCAAAAGGGAAATAATACAATACGTCGAGATCTACGTTCGTTAACACTTAAATCAATCAAACGGAGACGAATGGTCATTACTTAGTTGACTGCGCTTAAATATTCCTCTGGTAACAATAAAATAGATTTTTTTATTAGAGAGATACATCATATTTCAGACAAAAAGTTGTATTTCAATTCCGGTGGTTAGCGGGATAACAAGATATTAATTAACAAATGTTGAAATTATTAATATTTGTCTCCAACAAAAAAACTGGTTTTATTTTTGCAAGTAAGCTTCTTTAATAATTATTTAAAAATGAAAAAAAAAAACGTTTAACAAAATCTGCATATGAATAAAATTTCTCGTACTCCACAAAATCGCACAACCCAACTCTGGCTATTATCCAAAATGAACATCGACACGTACGTGTGCCAAATTACCAAAAACAAAAAACAGCGAACACCAGAATTCGCACCTGTTTCCCTATCAACGCGAAAATCCACGCGTTTCTCTGCCAGTCAATCAGGCAGCCAGCCAGTGTGTGTTTGCTTGGTTTTTGATTTCAATTTCAGGCAAAATTAACAAAAGCAAATAATTACCATTTATTTTTGGTGCAAATTGCTTTGCTTGCGTTCGCCTTTCTGCCCGATTCTATAAACAAAAAATTAATTCAGCCATAAAAATCAAAATATTTACACTCAAAATAATTGCAAAAGACGCACATCCATGGCACACAGCATACAACGGCAATTGTAAGAAAACAAACTAAACTAATTATTCATAATTGGCAAAAGGCAAACGAGCTAGACACTGTGAGAAAAACTGGTTTCTTTTTGAGATAAAAGAAATAGCTGAGTTTTAAAAATAAATTTGAATTAATTTGTGGAAAGACTACTTCGTTAAGTATGAAGGGAATCAGTAGCATCAGTGTTGTATTTATCGGAAACGAAGTTTGTTCTATTATACTATTGATACTAAGCTTGACCAAAAACACTTGTGTACTTGTTGACCAAAAAGTGGCCCGACACGACCCATTTTTTAGACCATGATTCTTAAAGTAGTCCAAAGGTCTCTGTAAAATTTTCAAGGTCTATACATATTAAATTTTCCGAAATATATCTCAAAATATGGCCAAGCCTAAAAAGAGGTTTAAAAAAAAGTTTGACTTAAAAACCCGAAGTTCTTTTGAAAGGGTTTCATCTACAAATTATCAAAACTTAACGAAATTCAATCGAAATTGAAAACGGACTTTTTTACCCTCCGTATAGTAAGGAGGGTATTTTTTGTCATTCCGCTTGTAACACCTCGAAATATACATTTCAGACCCCACAAAGTATATATATATTCTTGATCAGCAAAAAATTCTATATCGATTTAGCGATGTCCGTCCGTCTGTCCGTCTATCTGTCTGTGGAAATCACTCTAGCTTCCGAACGAAGTGAAGTATGTTGATAAAATATTACACAAATTTGTATTATGTCTGCAGGACTTTTGGTATGGACCTACATTGGGCGATGTAGGTCCACGTTTTGGTATAACCCCCATATAATGGTACCTCCCGATACTCAGGTTTTTGGTGTTTTAAGCGACATTATTCATCGGAAATGTTTCGAAATTGTTTTCTGTAGTTCGTAATGGGTACTACAGCCTATGAGAGAAAATTGTCTGTCCACGTCTTCGTAAAGCCCCCCTATAACGGTACCTCCCGATATTCGGTATTTTGATGACTTTAGTGACATTATTCACCGGAATTGTTCCAAATTTGGTATTTGATGTTCGTAATGGATGCTACAGCCTATGACAGGAGATTGTCTGTGCAGGTCCACGTCTTCGTATAGCCCCCATATAACGGTATCTCCCGATATTCGGTAACTTGATGATTTTAGCCACATTGTTCACCGGAATTGTTTCAAATTTGGTATTGGAAGTTCGTAATGGATACTACAGCCTAAGACATAAAATTGTGTGTGTAGATCCACGTCTTCGTATAGCCCCCATATAACGGTACCTCCTGATATTCGGTACTTTGTTGATATAAGCGACATTATTCTCCGGAATTGTTTCAAATTTGGTATTTGAAGTTCGTAATGGATGCTACAGTCTATGATAGGAGATTGTCTGTGCAGATCCACGTCTTCGTATAGCCCCCATATAACGGTTCTTCCCGATATTCGGTACTTTGCTGATATAAGCGACATTATGCTCCGGAATTGTTTCAAATTTGGTTTTTGAAGTTCGTAATGGATGCTAAAGCCTATGACAGGAGATTGTCTGTGCAGGTCTATGTCTTCGTATAGCCCCCATATAACAGTATATCCCGATATTCGGTAATTTAATGATTTTTGCGACATTGTTTACCGGAATTGTTTTAAATTTGGTATTGAAAGTTCGTAATGGATACTACTGCCTAGGACATAAAATTGTGTGTGCAGGTCCACATCTTCGTATAGCCCCCATATAACGGTACCTCCCGATATTCGGAATCCCGAATTTAATATTAAGGTCTCTGTTGATATCTGGTGTTGAGATCCGTTAATGGTTTTGCAAATGCAAAGGTATAGAGCAGGAATCCTGATATTTGATGTGGGTTTATTGTGTAGTCGCGTTTGTAATATTCTTCTCGATAAAAATAAAATTGTACATTTTGAGTGCTAAAAATCCTATCACGAACTTATGAAACGAATTTAAAATTTTAAGGTGGACTTTTCGCTTACGAAGTACCTGGTACTTATTAGTTATCTATAATATTGCTGAAGACACTATATATCTTAAATGTAATTTTTCTAAGGAGTTTCAAACCGACAGTTTTAAAAACTGTGGAAGATGGGTTAGGGGTTACTAAGGTTACTATGTGATGTAAACTTTCAAAACGCCGATACACGTGTCTTCCATTTTTTGCAGGTCATTCATAATCTGCTTGATTTTTTCTGCAATTTAATGGACCGGTATATCCCACCTTCGGTCTAGATCCAAAATAAATTTATTTTATTAAAATTTTTTCTCATTGTAGTATACACATTGTACAATTGCACCAATTTGTGTTCAAACTTCTTCAAGCATTTGTTGGGAAAAACAATGTACAAAGTGCGCCAGGGAAATAAATACCCATTGCTTGAGAAAATTAATATTGAAATCACTTTTCACTTGGGCTTTTGTTTACTTAAAACAGATTTTTCGAATGCCAACAATCATCCATCCGCAGAAAATTTTAATAAGTGTTTTCAACACTGTCTATTGCAAATAAATTGCGATATTGAAAATACCACAAAAACAAAAGAAACATATTTATGAATTCCTGCCTCGGCATTCCATCGGCATTGCAAATTAAAATGAAACATAAACCATATGAATGATTTATTGATGAACATTTTTCTGCTAACATTTTTCTAATTATTCCACTGACGATGGAAATGTTATTGACCTCGAGAGAAATACATAGAGCAGGGGGATCAAGGATATTTGAAATTAATATCATGGAATTTACTAGGAATTGTTATCATGGAATTTCCCAAGTGTTAATAACTTCTCCAAAAATTGTATTGAATGAAATGTTTTGTGTACATACCTTGAAGAAAAATGTTTTGAGCATTTCCAAAACGGCTTCAGCATCATCCTGAGTCACATATTCCACGGTATAGGATGTGTCATCTGTTTTGGCTTTTGTCACAGCAGGGGCGGAGGATACATTCAAAACACTGTCCATTTTCTGTGAGAGTCTTGTAATTGGATATAAATCCGAAAGCTGAAAATGTAATAAAGAAAAAGAAAATTGTAGCTTTAACTTTTATATGTAAATATATATGAAAAGAGATAAAATTGTCGTTTTCATTATAAGTACCTTTATCTATATTAAATTACTTTAAAATACAGTAAAACGTAAATTACATTCGAATGTAAATGTCGGATCCATTTAGAGGGACAAGTTTAAAAAAAAAGTATCTCAACGGAGGGGCAAGTTTAAAAATAAAAGTATCTCACCGGTACTAAACTTAAAAATGGTCCTTTCGGTTAAAGGGTATAACAAGGCAAATTTAATAATGTCGCACATGAGGTAAATTCAGGCCATATTCTTTCTGTCCAAAATGTTTCTGTGTGGATTCCATCAAAATAAGATATTTAATTTATTTTTTTATTTTTTTTTTTACTTTGAAAATCTTGGTCATTTTGCAGAATGTGTTCGGAGATTGTATAATGATTTGGGAAGAAGAGAAGTGCCATAAACTCCGTATGTAAAACTGTCGAATTTGAGGTATACGCATGCCGCTGTTTGGAGCAGGTTTTGGTTAAGGGGCATAATTGGGCAATTTTATATACAGGGTTAGATGAAACAACTGTAACCAACAGCGGTCTGAATGGTGTCATTACTAAGCCACTCGTCCGACAGCTGTTAAAATTATTCCAGTGACAGCTCGTTACATTGCTTAGAAGCGTACAAAAGCATTTTGGTGAGAATTCTCCAGAAAAAGTTATTCGTGATGGAATTCAAGCGTGATAGTGTGATTTCTTTTTATTTCGCTGGAAAAGCACAAGTTGCTATCGTTAGAGCACTCCAGCATATAAATGTGAATAAATCTTTTGTGTCTCGTACCATCGCTCTTTACCATAATACTGGTAGCGTAGGCCGACGTCAAGGAAGTGGACGGAAGAAAACGACTTAATAGAAACCCGCGTCGCAATGGTCGAAAAATGGCTCGTGAGCTGAACATATGGAAATATCCCATTCGTCAAATATTGAAAAATGAGCTCGGTGTAAAGCCATTGAAATTCCAAATAGTGCAAGAACTTACACCGCAAAAAAAAGAAAATAAACTCAAAAGAGCTAAAGAGTTGCTACGCTGGGCAGAAAGTGGTGAACTACCGATGAGAAAACATTCGTTGTGCAGCAGTTCGTAAACAAACAAAACGATCGTGTTTACCAGCCAAAGAGGTCAGCTGAAAATGTGCACCTTCTGTTTGTCACCAGAACTCAAACGCCGGCCATAGTGATGGTGTGGGCCGCCATAACAGCCGATGGTCGCTCTCTGTTCGTATTAATCGACCGTGCCATCAGAATAAATGCCGAATATTACCGCGAAAACATTCTGGAGGATGAATTAAAGCCTTGGACACGCAAACATTTTGGTCGCAGACCTTGGCATTCCAACAGGACTAAGCACCATCGCACTCAGCACTCGCCACCCAAGAATGATTACAAAATTGAGGTTCCTCGTTTCATTCCCAGCGCATAATGGCCACCAAAATCTCCGGATACCAATCCGTTGGACTATTGTGTCTGGAGTATTTTGGAATTTTGGAAGTGCCAACCACTTAAAAATACCAAAGTGTCGATAACCTCAAACAAGCCCTTCGCCGGGAATGGGCCAAAATACCGCAGAGCAAAATTAGGGCAGCCTGTGACGGTTTTATTGGCGGTTTGAAGGTCATAATTCGTGCCAAATGTTGCCAATTCGAACAAATCTAAACTTATTCTAAAATTTGATGCCGTACCCGACATTTTTTGTCAATAAAATTAAAAAAATTTAAAAAGTATGGCGTTTGACTTTGTTGCAGTTTTTTATCTCACCCTGTATATATAAATATGGCGGACCCTGTAGAAATATTTATTGACACCTTGGAATAGACTACACTCTAGATAATATTGCCTTGGAGACTTAGTTAGCAAGTGTAGATCTGCTTTGAAGGATAGTGGGAGGGTCCTTATGTTATAGTGGGCGCCAGTGCGCTCCCATGTCAGCTGCAATGAGATGTTCGGTGATTAGATGTTAGGGCCATCACATGCCGCTGCCACACAATATGTATGGGTAGATGTTGGTATAGTGAAATATCAATTTCTGCCGAATATGTGAGGGTGAAAAGTAGAGTAGTTGACCTCGACTTTCGCATTGGACCTAAGCTTGGTTCGAAGATTGGACCTATGTATCCTATATTTCTAAAAGTTCTGATATTATTACACACATAATTTGGCAACTTTTTGGGATTTTTTTTTATTATTTTTTTTTTTTTTTTTTTTGGAAAATTATGGTATTGTATGGTGTCGAATGGTAGACCCCGGTCCAATATTGCCTTTGTCTACTTGTTGATATGTAGTTTCTTCTAACGAATCTGAAGTGCTCAGTATACAATGACATTTTAATTCTCCCCTTCCATTTTTTTCGAGAAATCCGTCAAGATTTAGTATCTATAAGTGCTCTTTAAGGAGATTCATAAATATTTTATATTTTAACATCATAAAGGACAGCAACTGGCCCTAACTGGGAACTAAAAAATATAACAAACTTTTTAGATACCAACAGTAGGCATATGACATGAATTTTAGTAGTAGGTTGGTACACGGATCGGTTTTGGAATATTAAAATTTGTAAATAAAGAATAATTATTATACCCTACAACACTATGTGTTGGGGGTATTATAAGTTTGATTGGGCCAGAATTTATGTAACACCTCGAAATATTGGTTTCCCATATAGGAAAGTATATATGGTTCTTCCAAGCTCGCCGAGCTGAGTCGATTTAGCTATGTATGTCCGTCCGTCCGTCTGTCCGTCTGTCCATGTTAATTTGTAATCACTCTACAGGTCGCAATTATGGCCCGATCCTTACGAAATTTTGCACGAAGGTGGGGTTAGGGTCAGAATAGAAGCCTATTTCTTTTGTAGATGATCGCCAAATGTTTAAGGGATGAAATGGACCAAATACTGAATAAATGTCGGATTTTGCAGTAGCTATACAGGTCGCAATTATAGACCAATCGACGCGGAATTTCGCATGTAGCAAGAGTTTAGGGCGGGGAAGAAGCCTACCAATTCGGATGGTCATCGGATGATATTTAGGGGGTAAAATAGACCATGTATTTTGTATTGAAAAAATTCAACATTTTTCATTAAACCGCGAATTTTTTAAATCCCGGCGAAATCACAAGGACATGACAAGGTTACTTCTGATCTTTACATTGATGTTAACATCCAACAAAACGGATATATAGCAAAATATGTGCGATATTTATGTCTATCAAAGAAGATATGCTTGAAAGATCTCTTATATGTCGAGAACGGCTGAACTGATTTCGACAGTTCTCATTAATTCAGAATGGCCTCTTGGCAGGAAAGAAGAAACGTCTAAAAAAATCGCATAAAAATATCTCTCTAAAGATGAAAATATTGGTTTTGTAACATTTTCTCATATTTTTTTCAATTTTGTCATATTTTTGGCATATTTTCATTTCGAATTAAGCATTTTGTAATATTTCTACAGCTAACAAAACTAAGTAGTTAGGATATCAGGATATCATATACAGATCGCATTTATGGCCCGATCCTTACGAAATTTTCCATGTGGATAAGATGAGGGTCAGAATAGATGCCTACTCTTCTTGGAGATGATCGCTATATATTTCGGGGTTGAAATGGACCAAAAAACTGCCAAATTGTCAGCAGGTCGTAATTATTGCCCGATCCTCACGCACATTTGAATGGGGGTTACCGGAAATTGCAAAAGCCAAGCAGTTTCGGATGGCAATCCAAAAATATTCAATGTGTGAAATATTTTGCCAACTTTTGTAGACTAAATACGAAAATGTCCATTCCAGCGACATCTACCAATAAATTGGAAATGAGCAAATTCGTTTAAGTTGCTATTATCCGAAAATTAGAGAACGAAACATGATGGTTTTCTTTTATTATTTGTCACAATATCTTGTGGAATTCTTTCGAGTATCTCGCCTATATAAACTGTATGGTTTATTATAGTGTTGTAGGGTATTCAACGGTCGGCCCCGCTCGACTGTAGCCTTTGTTTACTTGTGTTTTGAATGGAGCTGATATTTTGTAATAATAATGCTGTAGATCGGAGAAGGTTTTTTGAAATAATGCGGGCTGAAAATACTAAAATTTTCTTGATTGATTTATCCTTAAGCACGATAATCACAAGACAATGCAAAAGTAAATTTCTTGCGAATTTAAAAAAAAAAATAAATAAATATTCCACAGGTGGTTATCGATGATTGTGTATTGTAATGAAGCCAAAATATAGAATAGTACTTTATATTATAAAATATCAACAAATACAGTCTTGACAGTATTGAACTTATATTATTGAAACGTTGTATCTAAAAAGACTCCTCTTTTTTTTTGGTCTCATTTCCGGGAGAACGGTTGTAAACAATGTTTTGATACCAATGAGAACGTATGAAACGTGCTCACACACCGATTAACCCAGTTGGTGCTTTCGTTAAATATTGTACTCATATTGATATGAATATGTGTACTTATGTGTGTCGCTTTCACATGTTCCCAAGTCCACATGATCCTCAGACAAGAAGAAAAAAACACATGTCTCCGTCCGTGTGGAAATGCATTAATGACATTCTAAAGTGTATTATTAATGACTTAAAAACAAAAGAACGTGAATTGTTTTCTTACTCACAATTCACCCTAGAGAAAATAAAGCCATTAAATTCTCTTGCAAATGTTGCCTGCCAGTTGTCTAGTGGCTGCCGACCGGCCTTTTAGCTGGTTAATGTACATATGTATATATTCGTACATATTGTAGTAGTACATTTTGTGACAAAGCAAAATTGTATGCAGTTAAATGAATTTCCGAGACAGAATACAAATTGTTTATTTTTTGTGGACTTGGGTATATTTTTGCGGCGTACATGACACACAGCACAGTACAATACGAAAAAAAAAAACACCACAAAAATAATCTTCCTTCCTGTCGACTACAGTAAAACATTGTCATATC